CGGCCCCCTCTCCTTGTCCTATTCGGACCAAGGGAGGGGAGGGGCGCGCGGCCCATGTTGGGCTGCCTCTTCTCTTTTCCACTAAGGCCCACTATGGCCCATATAGCTCCCGGGGGGTTCCGGTAACCTCCCGGTACTCCGGTAAAATCCCGATTTCACCCGGAACACTTCCGATATCCAAACATAGGCTTCCAATATATCAATCTTTATGTCTCAACCATTTCGAGACTCCTCGTCATGTCCGTGATCACATCCGGGACTCCGAACAAACTTCGGTACTTCAAAATGCATAAACTCATAATATAACTATCATCGTAACCTTAAGCGTGCGGACCCTACGGGTTCGAGAACACTGTAGACATGACCGAGACATGTCTCCGGTCAATAACCAATAGCGGGACCTGGATACCCATATTGGCTCCTACATATTCTACGAAGATCTTTATCGGTCAGACCGCATAACAACATACGTTGTTCCCTTTGTCATCGGTATGTTACTTGCCCGAGATTCGACCGTCGGTATTCCAATACCTAGTTCAATCTCGTTACCGGCAAGTCTCTTTACTCGTTCTATAATACATCATCCCGCAACTATCTCATTAGTTGCAATGCTTGCAAGACTTAAGTGATGTGCATTACCGAGAGGGCCCAGAGATACCTCTCCGACAATCGGAGTGACAAATCCTAATCTCGAAATACGCCAACCCAACATGTACCTTTGGAGACACCTGTAGAGCTCCTTTATAATCACCCAGTTACGTTGTGACGTTTGGTAGCACACAAAGTGTTCCTTCGGCAAACGGGAGTTGCATAATCTCATAGTTATAGGAACATGTATAAGTCATGAAGAAAGCAATAGCAACATACTAAACGATCGGGTGCTAAGCTAATGGAATGGGTCATGTCTATCAGATCATTCACTTAATGATGTGATCCCGTTAATCAAATAACAACTCCTTGTTCATGGTTAGGAAACATAACCATCTTTGATTAACGAGCTAGTCAAGTAGAGGCATACTAGTGACACTCTGTTTGTCTATGTATTCACACATGTATTATGTTTCCGGTTAATACAATTCTAGCATGAATAATAAACATTTATCATGATATAAGGAAATAAATAATAACTTTATTATTGCCTCTAGGGCATATTTCCTTCAGTTATCTCCCAGGTTTCATTCGTCAAGATGGAATCCATCTCGCTACTAACCGCTTCCTTCCAGTAGTCAGCATCTTCAGATGCATAGGCCTCTGAAATAGAACTGGGAGTGTCATCTATGAGATACACAAGAAAATCATCATCAAAGGACTTTGCAGTCTTCTGTCTCTTGGTTCTAGTAGGAACTTCATTGTTCTCCTCCATAGGATTTTCAAAGTGTTCCATCGAAATGGCAGGTTCGGTAATTGTAACTGGTTCCTGATTCAATGAACTAGGCATCTCCTGATTAGATGAGGTAGCCATATCCTTCATGGGAAAGATATCTTCAAAGAAAGTCGCATCATTCGACTCCATGATCGTACCGACATGTATGTCAGGTACCTCAGATTTTACAACCAAGAATCTATAGCCAATGCTATGAAAAGCATATCCCAGGAAAACACAATCCACTGTCTTTGGTCCAAGCTTCCGCTTATTTGGAATTGGAACATTGACTTTCGCCAAACAACCCCATGTTCGTAGATAAGAGAGTTTTAAGCTCTTCTTCTACCATTCCTCGAATGGAGTTATCTCTTTATTCTTTGTGGGAACATGGTTTAGGACATGACATGCAGTCAATATCGCCTCCCCCCACCATGCCTTGGAGAGACCCGAAGTGTCTAACATGGCGTTAACCAAATCTGTTAGAGTACGGTTCTTTCTCTCCGCCACCCCATTTGACTGAGGTGAATAGGGAGGCGTCCTCTCATGGATTATACCATGTTCCGCACAAAAAGCATCAAATTCATTAGAAAAATACTCTCCACCACGGTCAGACCTAAGCCTCTTGATTTTTCGATCAAGTTGGTTTTCCACTTCAGCTTTATAGATCTTGAAAAAGTTCAAAGCCTCATCCTTAGATTTCAGAAGATACACACGACAGTATCTAGTGGAGTCATCAATTAACGTCATGAAATATTTCTTTCCACCTTTTGTCAACACACCATTCATTTCACATAGATCTGAATGTATGAGCTCTAGTGGTGCAAGATTTCTCATTTCCGCAGTCGTGTGAGACTTATGAGATTGCTTAGCTTGCACACACACTTGACACTTAGATCCCTTGACAGTGGTGAAACTAGGGATTAAGTTCAACTTCGCTAGTCGCGACATGCAACCAAAGTTAACATGAGAAAGACGTGAATGCCACACATTTGATTCACTATTGTTGCAAATATGATTAAGAACTTTATTGCAAACGTCTGATAAGGATAAACAAAACATGCCTCCAGACTCATAGCCTTTACCAACGAAGGTTCCATACTTGGATATTACAAATTTATTCGACTCAAAAACAAGCTTATAGCCATCTCTACACAGAAGAGATCCGCTAACAAGATTTTTTATTGACGGAGGGGATATAATGCATGTTCTTCAGCCGCACGATCTTCCCCGAAGTAAACTTCAGATTGACCGTGCCAACACCATGAACAGAAGCACTTGAACCGTTGCCCATCAGCACGGTTGAAGTCCCTGCGGTCTGATAAGACGAAAACATGGAAATATCACCGCATACATGCACATTAGCACCCGTTTCAATCAACCAGTCAGGAGAATGGCATACTGAAAGAATAGTGGGAAATATACCATACCCAGCATCCTTCATGTCAGTGTCTCCAATGACAACATTAAAGGTCTTGCCGCCTTTCCCAGGATGACGCTTGTCATAGCGATTAGGGCAACTAGGAGCCCAATGATCAGGATCCCCACACACATGACAAGCACCTTTCTTCTTGCCATTCTTCTTCTTGAAGTTCGTGTGTTGCACAACCTTGTTCTTCCCATCAAACTTTGCTTTACCATCAAACTTGCCCTTGTTCTTGAACTTGTGGGGCTGGAAGTTCTGCTTCCGTACCACATTGGCACTAGATCCTCCCTTAATACCTCTAGCACGTGTGTCCTTTGCTCTCGCCTTTTCTTCCACATCAAGAGTGCCAATGAGATCCGGAATGGAAAACTCCTGCCTCTTATGCTTCAGTAAGGTAGCAAAATTCCTCCACGAAGGAGGAAGCTTAGTGATGGTACCTCCGGTAACAAACTTGTCCGGCAGCATACAACTGAAGTGCTCAAGTTCTCTAGCAAATGATTGTATCTCATGAGCTTGCTCAACCACGAAGCGCTCTTCAGTCATCCTGTAATCATAGAATTGCTCCATAATGTACAGCTCAGTACCAGCATCCGAGACCCCAAACTTGGCCTCGAGTGCATCTCACATATCTTTTCCATTATCAATTGACGCATAAGCATCAACTATGTTCTCACCAAGAACACTCAAGAGAGCAGCCTTAAACAAAGTATCCATTTTCTGAAAGGCTTGTGTCTGTTGAGCATCAAGCTCCCCTTCAGGTTTGCCAAGAGTGGCATCATAGCAACTCATGGTTTAAAACCATAAGACTGCTCTCACGCGCCACCTCTTATAGTGGATACCCTCAAACATAGGAGGTCTCATGGAAGCAGCAAAACCACTTGGTGTAAATTACCTATCATAAGGTTTTTGGATTGTTGGAAATATGAGCAATTTACCAAATAATTTTGCTAATGGAAATACTAGATAAAGCATGACTAATATAGGAAATATAAAGCAAGTCATGCAATCTGACAAAGAGAAGGTAAACATCGTCTGCATATATGAACTTGTGCTAAACACATCTAGAACAGACACTAGATGAAGCTGCTTATACGACATAGAATCTAACATATGTAGGGCAGAAACTAGAGGCGAGAACTGTAGCAGCAACGGAAGCACTGGACTTGGGGTCGACATCCTCTCCAGCCATGTCGTCAATGAGGTTGTCGACATCGGGGAAGAAGTCGTCGGAGTCCGTGATGAAGAAGTCAGTAGTCGCGCAGAGCGCTCCCCAAAAATCGTATCACCCTTCTCCCGTACAAGACTCAAAGTGGTGCGGTTTCGGAGGCCGTGTGACCTTTCATATACCCATAGTGCGTGGCAAAATTTAGATATCGGCTCATTCCCGCAACCCACGGCGCGGCGCGGCGCGGCGTGACGAGGCGGGTGGCGGAGGAGCGGCGTGGATATCCCTCTTGTTCTCATGCTCGTATAAGTGTGAAAAGAACCTCCCTTATAAGGAGGTCCAACTCCCACTCAACTAGCCATGTGGGACTAAACTTTAGTAGTATCCCTTGCCTTGCACAAATGGGCTAAGTGGGCCTCTAGGATTTATTAGGAATTTTTGAAATAGTTATTGGGTTGCCCAAAATAGACTAAATTCCAGCATTTATTACGTTGATTATACATGTGGCACATCAAGGAACGAAAATTACTGGAACAAAGAACTGCAAAGAAATACAGATGACAGGATGGTTGATACAGACGCCCATTAAGGAGCATGGGCATGAGCGAAACGCCAGCGTTTTTCCTCCGGACGGTGCTAGCTAGAGCCTAAAGTCTGAAGCCACAAGGACAGCTTCATCTTGTAAGCACATGAACTCGAGATGATCATGGGTGAGCAGGGATCCCTGGAAGCACCACCAGCGGGCCGGTAATGGTGCTGGTACCGGTAACGGTTCCGACGACCGGCAGGTCTGGCAGCCCCAGCACCTTCGACTCGTCGACGGCACCACCGGCACCGGCACCGCGTGGCGTTGCTAGTGCCTGATCCTTCTGGTTCAGCTCCCTGCCGTCACAGTACGCGAGCGCCACCAGTAGCAGAAGCGCGACGGCGAGGCACTTTGTCATTGTTAACTGGGAGGCTCTTGTAATAGTACTGGCAAGGAGATAGTCTAACTTGTGCGGCTTTGTTTGAGTGATAGTGTTGTGTGGCTGTGTTTGAGTGAGCTTAGGCTTAGCTCGTGTACGTTGCATCTTATAGGCGAGCTGCACGGGGTGGCCGTGCCTCGTCGGTGCAGGAGAGGAGGATTTGTAGAATGGGTAGAGGACTAGAGGTCAGGTGCGTCAGGCACGGGCAAGGGAGAGAGAGAGGAATGTATGGGTATGGCGGAATGCATGTGCACGTCCGTGGATTGGAATGGGGCGGGTGGATTTATTGCCCGTGAATCCGTGCCGACAGGTCCTATCGTCGTCGAGTAGTCAAGGTGCCACTGCCGAATTAGAGCCTATTATTATTGGTTCCGTTCATCAGCAGATCTTTTTCCGTTCAAGGTTGGAGACAGTACTGTGCCTGATCTTATATGTGGCGGGCCTAGTTGTTTTTTCTTGCAAATTTGCGGCGCTGGTTTTAGGATCTTTGTGATCTGCAACTAGAACGTTGCCTTGCTGTAGATAAGCTTCGACTGACAGGGACGTTTCGTTCTATATTTGGCCATCTCTGATAGGTACTCTCGGATGCCGCTGCGTCAATTTTAGACACGGTGCAACTGCTGATAAGTGCAGTGCCATCAACAGCAAAAGCAAGGTAATATTTACATCAAAATGTGCCTTACTTAGTTATTAAAAGATTCTGTACTTGGTGGGCTCGGCATCCTTAATCTTAGGAACTTTGGTCTTGCTCTTCACTGTCGCTGGCTGTGGAAACAATGGGATGAAGATAAGAGACCCTGGTGCTATTTCAAGGATACGACGGAGAAGGAGGTTGCAGAGCTGTTCTCGGCGGCCTGCAAGATCTCTCTTGGAGATGGAAATGAGGCCAAATTCTGGGTGGACAACTGGCTACCGGGTGGGCACTCGATCGCCACCACTGCGCCAGCCCTGTTTTCTTATGTGAGGGACAAAGGCAGGTCTGTCAGAGAGGCACTGCAAAACAGCTCATGGGTTCGGGATATACATGGCGGACTCTCATCACAGGCATTGGCCCAATATCTTTCGGTCTGGGACATCGCGTAGTCTACGGCACTAACCCCTGGCATGAGGGATACCCCAAGATGGAGGAGGACGGACGATGGTGTCTTCTCGGTTGGATCGGCTTACAGGATGTTTTTCTTGGCCAGTATACGCTTTGCCTGTGCCAAGCCAATCTGGAAATCAAAAGCACCGCCCAGATGCAAGTTCTTTATGTGGTTAGCAGTACATTAGAGATGTCTAACGGCGGACAATTTGCAGCGCAGGGGCTGGCCCAATAACCCTGGCTGCTGGCTTTGCCTATCGGAGCCGGAAGATTGCACACACCTTTTTGTACACTGCAGATTCACACAGCAGGTATGGCGGCTCTTCAAACAGTGGGCGGGAACCTCTTTCACCCTGCCTGACGTGAGCTTCACCACGACGGAGGAATGGTGGCTGCAAGCGAGGCGGCAGATCTCCAAGGCCATGCGGCGCAACTTTGACACCCTGGTAATTCTCATGCATTGGAGAATCTGGAAGAAAAGAAACGCCAGGGTTTTTGATCAATTAGCCAGCAGTGCAGATAAAGTCCTGGATGCAGTCAGGAGGATATTAGTATTTGGAGGGCAGCGGGTTGTATCTATGATGCAGCCCCTTGATGTTTTCTCTGGTCGTTCCTGTAGGTGTGGTGCCTTGCTTAGGCCCCTGTAGTCAGGCACCTCTCCTGCTGTTCGGCCACATCTCCTGGCCAGACTCTTTGTAATTGTTGTCCTCTCTCCTTCTAATAAAGATCGGCGAATGGCCCTTCGATAAAAGATTCTGTACTTACTAGGTGGAAACATTGTGCAGTGAAAACTGAGACGTTCCTTACAAAATAACAGCATGCTATCTCGTTTTGAATGCTTATCCCTTCAAAATGGAAAATATCTTAGACCATTTTCCAGCCCATTTTCGGTGCAAAATGGCCCACTATCGACGCAAATTGACCAATTTTGGCCGTATTTGGTGTGATTCGACGTGCTTCGACATAAATTCAACAGAAACTATTTTTGTTCATATAGTCCATCACAATAAATCAATAGAAATCAAATAGTTCAATACAAATTACATAGTTCAACAAATAGTTTTACAAATAAAATCTCATATTTCATCACACGTCGAGCTAGGCGTTGCCCTTGAGCCTCCATAGGTGCTCCACCAAATCCTGCTGCAGTTGTTGATGCACTTGTGGGTCTCGGATCTCCTGACGCATATTGATTTTACCAACGGGGATACCAACCCCAACCTATCGGACAAGAACTCAACGTTCCAACCACCAGGCTACGCTAGAGTAGTTGAACTGTTGTTCTCTTTTACGCTTCTTCTTTAGTTCCATTCGTTTTTTTCTTTTACTTTTTTCTTATCCTTTTGTGTTATCTTTTTGTTTTCTTTAATGCACACTTTTTAAAAATTTATGAACCTTTTTCCTAAATTGATTATTTTTTTCAAATTTGATGAACTTTTTTAAATCCGATAATTTATTTTTAAAATTTGATGAACTTTTTCCAAATTCGATATTTTTTTCCCAAATTTGGTGAACCATTTTCAAATCTGATGAACTTTTTTGAAAAGTTGATGAACTTTTTTGAAAATTTCTGAACTATTTTCAAATCCGATGAACTTTTTTGAAAATTTGATGAACTTTTTTGAAATTTGATGAACTATTTTTTAAATCCGATGATTATTTTTGAAATGTTGATGAACTTTTTTGAAATCCGTTGAACCTTTTCCAAATTCAGTGAACTCTTTTTCAAATTCGATGAACTTTTTTCAAATCTGTGAAGTTTTTTCAAACTCATGGTCTTTTTTCATTGTTGTGAACTGTTTTTTCAAAATTAGTGCACCTTTTCCCCATTTCCTGAACTTTTAATTTTGAATTCGTGAGCTTTTTTGAATATATGAGCCTTTTTTACATTGGTCAACTTTTTTTATGCATGTTCGTCAACTTTCCAAATTTGCTCACATGTTTTCCATATATTCACGTTTTTTATTAATGTTTTCAAACAAGTCAAAATCTAAGTGAGGGGATGTACAATAAGTAGCGCTACTATGCTGGTTCTTAAATCAATTCGCGCTGAAATTAATTACCACCAGGCAGTAGGTGTACTGGTTGGCCGGCCTCGGAGACGAGCGTGAGGGCGTGAGTTCGAATCGTGGGGAGTCACTTTTTTGAATGTATTTTCGCGTAATAATTCATTTTTTCCTGCGTGCCCGTTTGTGGGCCGGTCCAGCAAGCGCTGCCGCAGACGCCAACTGCCTTCGGCGGCGCAGAAGGCGCCGAATAGGCGCTCCCATCAACTTGGGCAAGAGGACCCTACCTGTAATATGGTTCTGTGTTAAACACTGGCTCTTCCTTCTCGCTCTCAATGATCATGTTGTGCAAGATGACACAACAAGTCATGATCTCCCATATTTGATCTTTCGACCAGGTCTGAGCGGGGTACCGGGCAACAACAAATCGAGATTGGAGCGCACCAAATGCCCGCTCGACATCGTTCCTGCAAGCCTCCTGAACCTTCGCAAAGTGGGAGTTCTTGCCTCCTGGGATAGGGTTTGAGATAGTCTTTACAAATATAGACCATCTCGGATAGATGCCATCTGCTAGGTAGTATCCCTTGTTGTAGTGCCGCCCATTGACCTCGAAGTTCACCGAAGGAGAATGACCTTCAACCAGCTTGGCAAAGACAGGGGAGCACTGCAGTATGTTGATGTCATTGTGAGTTCCTGGCATACCAAAGGAGTACCAAATCTAGAGGTCATGTGTGGCCACTTCCTCAAGTACCACACTGCAACTGCATTTGGCGCCTTTGTACATCCCCTGCCAAGCAAATGGACAGGTTTTCCATTTTCGATGAATGCAGTCGATGCTTCCAAGCATCTCAGGATATCCTCTTAATGCATTATGTGTTAGAAACCGAGCAGTGTCTTTAGCATTGGGTGATCGCACGTATTGCGGTCCAAACACTGCCACCACTGCCCTGCAGAACTTGTCGAAACACTCAATGGTCGTGGTGAAGGAAATATGCCCTAGAGGCCATAATAAAGTTGTTATTTATATTTGTTGGGGAACATAGAAGAATTTTAAAAAAAATTACGCATCACCAAGATCAATCTATGGAGTCTTCTAGCAACGAGAGGAAAGGAGTGCAACTACATACCCTTGTAGATCGCAAGCGGAAGCGTTCAAGAGAACGGGGTTGAGGGAGTCATACTCGTCGTGATCCAAATCATCGAAGATCCTAGTGCCGAACGGACGGCACCTCCGCGTTCAACACACGTACGGTTGGGGAAGACGTCTCCTCCTTCTTGATCCAGCAAGGGGAAGCGAGAGGTTGATGTAGATCCAGCAGCACAACGACGTGGTGGTGGAAGCAGCGGTGATCTCGGCAGGGCTTCGCCAAGCTTAGCGAGAGGGAGAGGTGTCACGAGGGGAGAGGGAGGCGCCAAGGGCTAGGGTGCGCGGCCCTCCCTCCCCCCTTCTTTATATAGGGGTCCAGGGGGGCACCGGCCCCTAGAGATCCCATCTCAAGGGGGGGCAAGGGGGGGACTTGCCCCCCAAGTCAAGTGGGGCGCCCCCTACCCCTAGGGTTTCCAACCCTAGGCGCAGGGGAGGCCCAAGGGGGCGCACCAGCCCACCAGGGGCTGGTTCCCTTTCCCACTTTAGCACATGGGGCCCTCTGGGATAGGTGGCCCCACCTGATGGACCCCCGGAACCCTTCTGGTGGTCCCGGTACAATACCGGTGACCCCCGAAACTTTCTCGGTGGCTGAAACTGGACTTCCTATATATAATTCTTCACCTCCGGACCATTCCGGAACTCCTCGTGACGTCCGGGATCTCATCCGGGACTCCGAACAACTTTCGGGTTACCGCATACTAATATCTCTACAACCCTAGTGTCACCGAACCTTAAGTGTGTA